GACCAACGAGTAGCTCGGGCCAAGTCTGTCCGAGACTGACACAGTCTCTCTTACTCGTCTACTTGTAATGCCTCATCCACTTCTCTTCATCTGTCTTCATTTGCCTGCGGCCCTCTCCCTCTCTTACTCTCCTTTAGGAACTGCTTGCTCAAATCACTCGTACAAATGGATGCCGTACAATAGCCTTGTCCTATGATTAATCATCGCCAACTCAGAGCACCATCATCACCATCATCATCAGATTAAAGACCAGACCAATCACCCTGTGCTCACTATTCGGTACCTTTCGTATCTTCCTAACCCTACTCCAGATATTTCCCTCGTCATTTCTCCTTTTCACTGGCTGTTTGGGATAGAAATTAGACCACAAGCCACTGCCGGGGTAGCAGGGTTTCCTTTGGTCCTAGGTGCTAAACTATGGTCGGTAGATCTAGATCTTCCCTATCAAGAAACCAACCACCACGGTCGCTCTCTGCATCTCTTCACTTCTGTCCTTGCCCTGGTCTTGTTGGATGTACGCCAGGAGACTATCCGGCTCTCGTCGTGTGTGAACGTGGCAACATCTCCGTGCATAAACGGACTGGATCGTGATGTCGGCTATACAAAATCTCCCGAGAGAAAACCTGCAAGAGGCGGCCAGAGAGCGCGCTCCTCGTGGCTGTCATGTCCTTGTCTTCTTCAGCATGTTGACCAACCAACTCATCTCTCTACCCCGCAGAAAATACTCCTTATACTGGTGGATGGAGAGTGGATGCGCCTCCTCATTTGTGCCTTTGAGCGCCGAGAAACGCCACCGTGTCTCGCAAGCCGCACCGCGATTGCTTCGTATTCCCTTGTTATACGCTTTTTCTGATGTTGCTGTTCGCTTGCTCAGCTCAGCCTCCGCACAGCTGCCGAGAGCTGCCGCCTGGATGAGAATTTTTGTGGTGAGCGTGCTCTCCGGAGAATTGGCATTGGGCCTGATTTGCGCTACCGAAGCTGATGTTGCACTCGTGATGCTTGGTTGAAGAGGAGATGGGACCAGCCTCCCTGTCCAAAACACCCCCTCTTCATGTTCCATCACGTTCGTATCTGCGTAGGTGGTTGGCCTGACGTGCGTTAGTTGGTATTCTAGTGGACGGGATTGACGCCGCTATGCAAGCCCTTTTGATGGGGCCCCCGCCTTTGTCCTCTCCCGTGATGGCCGTTTTTCTCCCCAAGACAGCGCTAGGGGCCCTCCCTTGTACCGTGCATCTCGAACCTGGATCGGCATGTTGCTGATTGACTCGAGCACGTTGAGCAGCCAGGGCAGTACGAGGTAGAGAGTCAAAGGAAATAGAGGGCGGTGGATTGCATTGCATGGTTTTGGCCCCGGCCGTCTGGAGAACAAAGGGACAAATCCTTGACACATCACACCTTGATCACCGCCCCAAACCCGCGTGGTTTGATGATAGCCGGTCTCCCCGGATTCCGCACTCTCAGGCTCAAGTACCCCGTTAGGTGAGTGATGAATGGGTGAATGCCCAGCCTCCTCACTTTGTATCTTTGTACTTGGACAGACTTGGTCGAGGGGCATGTATCTCGGGGTTAGACACACCGAGCCCGAGCTTTCGAGAGTCTCGGAAACTCAAAATCTCGCTCACACCATCACCATCGTCATCGTCATCAGAGATAGCGGTAGTGACAGCGGCAGCAGCAGCAGCAACAACAACAACAGCTCTACCGAGGACAGCTTCTTCCCTACCCCCCCTCTCTCTCTCTCGCGAGATAGGACTGATCGACGAAAAGGGAAAAATTCGGATCCTTGACTAACTCATCACTCTCCATACTACAAGCTTCCCGCGAACGAAGACGAGGAGACAATCCAACCGAGCTCAGCTACACAGCTCTGTCACACAGCTTCTCTTCCCTCCTACAGAAAAAATACCACGAGGTAACGACCCAGTCAGTCACCATACAATCTCCATCCAGCAGCACTACTAGCCTCCTCCTCCTGGCCCTACCGATCCCATATCAGTTCTACCTTGATTCTATCTATACACCTTTACTCAGTACTGAATACCCAGTAGTCGATAATCGATAGTCGGTAATCGAATGCTCACCACCCTCCGATCCAAGATGGGCGACACTGCTGCAAAGTCGTCATCCTCGTCGGCCTCGCACGAGGTCTTTGTCGGCTCCATCGACCAGGGCACCACGAGCACGCGGTTCCTCGTCTTCAACCGGCACGGCGAGGTGGTGGCGTCGCATCAGATCGAGTTTAAGCAGATCTATCCGCATCCCGGGTACGTTTTCTAGCTCTTCTTCTCTTTCTCTCTCTCTCTCTCTCTTTTCATAGTTCATTTACTCTCTGTCTGGGATTTTCACGGAGAACGAAAAATACGGTGTGTACGAGAGTGTGTGTGAGAAAGCCAAAAGAGCATTAATGTATAAAAGCAAAGCTGGTATATTCGTTTATCAAAGTCACTTTCTAACCCTCCCTCATTCCCGATATGATTAATATAGATGGCACGAGCACGATCCACTGGAAATCATTTCGTCGGTGGAGCAATGCATCGACGGGGCGGTCAAAGACCTCGAGAACCAGGGCCACGCAAGCGCCAGCATCAAAGCCGTGGGGATCACGAACCAGCGTGAGACAACGGTAAGAAAAATGAACCCCTCTTCTTCTGCCTCTTTCGTCCAGTCAATCCTATCCAACAGTTTCGGTTGGTTGCGAGCCAATCGTTACTTTGCTTGCACTTTGGGTCTCCAAGAAAAGACCGAGGGGAAAACATTGGTTGACTCGATTCTTGCTCGGCATCTAGGTCGTATGGAACCACGAGACGGGCGAGCCGCTGTACAATGCAATCGTGTGGACCGATACCCGTACCCAGGCCCTCATCCGTAAGCTCAAGCATCGACTGGGGTCAGACCAGCTGCAACAGCTCTGTGGTCTTCCCCTGTCGACGTACCCCTCGGTGGGCAAGCTCCTCTGGCTGCTCGACAACGAGCCCAAGGTCAAGGAGGCCTACGACAAAGGCATCCTCGCCTTCGGCACCATCGACGCCTGGCTCGTCTACAAGCTCAACGGCGGGCCCAAGAAGAATGTCTTCGTGTCTGACCCGACCAATGCCTCGCGGACCATGTTCATGAACCTCAAGACCCTGGACTACGACGAGTCGCTCATCGATTTCTTCCGGTTGGACCAGTCCAAGATTCACCTCCCCAAGATCACTCGGTCGTCAGATCCCGAGGCATACGGGCGTCTGGAGCTGAGTGTGCTCAAAGGCACCCCTATCACTGGCTGTCTGGGCGATCAGTCAGCCGCCCTGGTCGGTCAAAAGGGATTTACTCCCGGGCTGGCCAAAAATACCTACGGGACCGGCTGTTTCCTCCTGTACAACGTCGGTGAAAAGCCGGTCTTCTCCACCCACGGCCTTCTCGGCACCGTGGCCTACGACTTTGGAGAGGGCAAGCGCATGTACGCGCTCGAGGGGAGTATCGCCGTCGCCGGATCCAGTGTCAAGTTCTTGGTCGATAATTTTGGCTTTGTCGAGTCCTCGAGTAAGATAAGTCAGTTGGCTGCCACTGTCGAAGACAATGGCGGCTGTGTCTTCGTCACCGCATTCAGCGGATTGTTTGCTCCATACTGGATTGATGACGCGAGAGGAACCATCTGTAAGTGTCACTGTCTCTGCTCGTTGGTATCTAATGCTGATCCCCATTGTGTCTCCAGACGGCATAACAGCCTACACGCAGCGTGGACATATTGCACGCGCCACTCTCGAGGCAACATGCTTCCAAACAAAAGCCATCCTCGACGCCATGGAGAAGGACTCGGGTGCGAAACTTGCTGAGCTTGCCGTCGACGGTGGCATGAGTAACTCAGATTTGACCATGCAGGTATGTCACCGTGGTTGCGGCCGAGATCTTGAGGGAGTCAATGGGTGCTAATATTTGTCCAGACACAAGCGGATTTGATTCAGATCCCGGTGCGGCGACCGCAGATGCGGGAGACCACAGCCCTCGGAGCTGCCATCGCCGCCGGATTGGCTGTCGGGGTGTGGGACAGCATTGAAGAGTTGAAAGACATCAATGTCGAGGGCAGCACTGTCTTCAAACCACAGCTGCATGAGGCCAAGAGCAAGGAGATGTTCGAGAGGTGGGAAAAGGCAGTCCAGATGTCCAAAGGTTGGTCGTCATAAAAAGAGAAAGGCGGACTCAAGAAACTAAAGTCTTACATCGCGGCTCGCCCATCCGCGACGCCGCTAATACCAATGATGCATTGCGTTGGCAACATCATGGCCTCTTGTTTGTTCCTTTCTGCGCGTCGTGATGCTGGACATCTGGCTCAACGCCACTTGTCATCCAAGTGATGGAGATCCAAAGCCACGGTCATTGTGTCCCAAGCCAGCCAAACCAACAGATCTGGTTGTCGGCATAATCTACAGACCGACACTTTGGGGAATTGGGGCTGACAGGATTGGTGGTGCAGCCCTTTTGTGATGCAGACGGCGCACCAACAAGCCTCGTGAGCCCCTGGTTGGCTGCCCGCGCGAGGCCGACACCGGCTCGAGATCTCGTCTCGAGATTTCGGAGTTCTCTCAGACAAAAGATCTGCCAAGCTCGGAGCTCTGTGCGCGAATAGTCTCCGTCATTACATCTGCGATACGCAGATCTGTGGTGCCCACGTGGTGATGTTGTAACAAGCTTTGCGCTTTGTAGTGCCGGCCGATACCCTGCATTACATCATGTTTTTGCCGCATATAACGGATATTTTGGCCATGGAGTCGGCTATTCGGCACTGATCAAGGATTGGGTTACCCCAAAAGCCCACCGCTTCAACAGAAAGTCGACAAACTTGTGATGCAGGCGCCCTTCGGGGATGCAGTCTGCAAGCCAACAATGTCTCGCTGTCATCCCCTTGTTCTTTCGTCGACTCCCTTATCTTCCCAAGATTCCTGGAAGAAATCTCAACAGTAAAGTGTTTTCCAGGGGCGACCACCAGATCCAATGCTTGTGACATCAAGATCTCAATCATGTCGAGCCAGAATATATCGGAGGATGATAAAGACGTCATAGAGAACAATCCCGACGTTGAAAAGAATTTGGCACAGACATCGTACCCGGAACTCAAACAAGTCAGCAGCAATGCCCTGAGCAGGATCACCTCACGTCTCAGCACTCGAGATATCGTCGATCCTGGACCACCTCCAGATGGAGGCCTCAAAGCATGGATCCAAGTCGCCATGGCGTGGATTGTCTGCTTTTGTACCTGGTATGTGGGAGTTTCGAAACGCCTTTGGGGGGGATATCAGAACCTTGCCCTGAACAGATGGCTGACGTCTTTCTCAGGGGTTACATCAATTCATTTGGTGTCTTTCAAACCTATTACACCGAGACCTTGGGCGAATCGCAGTCGACCATCTCCTGGGTGGGTTCCATTCAATTGTGGGTGGTCTTCTTCGTGAGCGCCTTCTCCGGTCGGGCGCTGGATGCCGGGTTCTTCGTTCCGAGCTTGCTCATCGGTTCAATCGTCCAAATCATCGGAATCTTCATGACGAGTCTATGCAAGAACTTCTGGCAGCTTTTGCTTGCTCAGGGCCTCTGTACCGGTCTGGGCAGTGGAATATTCTTCTGCCCCACCATGGGACTTGTGACGACGTATTTCAGGAAGAACCGCGGACTCGCTGTTGCCATTGTGTCGGCTGGGAACTCGGCAGGCGGTGCCATATATCCGGTGCTTGTGCGCCAGCTCCTCCCAAAGATTGGATATGCATGGACTGTCCGCGTGCTCGGTTTCGTGAACCTGGGATTGCTTTCGTTGGCACTGGCATGCATGCGGCCGAGACTGCCTCCGCGGAAATCTGGGCCGATCGTCGAATGGAGGGCATTCTGTGAAGTGCCGTATGTCTGTGTCCTCCTGGGCATGTCGCTCGTCTTTGGAGGATTATTCTTCTCCTACTATTACATCGCTTCCTTTGGCCGGACAGTCCTGAATATGAGCTATGAAGACTCACTCACTTTGCTCATCATCTTCAATGGGGCCGCGATACCTGTCCGACTTGTCACGGGGTTCATTGCGGATCGTTTCATGGGTCCGTTGAACGCGATGGTTCCACTCCTTTTCATCAACGGGGTTTTTGCATTTAGCTGGATCGCAGTGAAGTCGGAAGCAGGCATGTACGTATTTGCAACGTTTTATGGATTCTCAGCGGGAGCCTTTCAGTGTCTTTTTCCAACGACAGTGACGAGTTTGAACAACGATTTGAGCAAGAATGGTGTGAGGATGGGCATGGCGTTCTCGCTATTCAGTTTTGCAGGTCTTTCCGGACCTCCCATTGGAGGGGCGTTATTGTCGACAAACGGGGGAGGGCGAGGCGGGTACCTGGTTGCACAGATATGCCTGGGAGTACTTACTGTGGTGGGCGCTTGTCTGATGTATGCCGCCCGGGTGTATAAGGTTGGGTGGAGCTGGAGGATCAAGTGTTGAAGCATCATCGACGAGTACAGCAGACAGAGACGAGGAGTTGTTGTGGTTTCCACAGTGACCAGCAGCTTTGTCGCAGTAGCCGTGGCCATCAGACGTCTTGACTTCTAAGACGTTATCAGGCCGGTTCAGCAAAATCAAACCCTCGTGCGCCATTTCGAAAACACGGGGAGGGATAGAAAAGGTGTGTGCTGTGGATGATGGTAAGCTGTCAATTTTCCTGTCAGTCGTCAGTATCGCTCGAAGACTGGGGGGGTAACTTGTCCGAGGCTTAAAAGGGAGGAATCAACTGAGCAGAAGGAGACGAAGAGTGTGAACAGCAGCACATCTACTGGGCTATGGATATTGACAGGACAAGGCCCTTAGCGGTACTTTAGAAAGATTCGAGCGAAGCTTTGTAAGATTGGAAGGGAAGAAAGGACAAGGATTGTTGATGGTAGCATTTGATCGACTTGGGTCGATTGCGGCATGTGAGGTGAGATGACGCGATCCCTTAGCAACTGCGTGTGTTTAAGGGAATGCGCTTGGACCCTCTTCGTGTGTTTGATTAGATAGAGGCATCAAGGTAGACTGTAGGAATGGATGAAAATTAGAGGACAAGACGATCAAGGCGGTTTATGATAGGAACATTATTGAATTCATTGTTGAGGTACGAGACTGGGCTTCGCTGGGCTGGACTGGGCGTACGTGGACCGCTTGACCGCATGCCCAACTGCACCAACTGCACCTGGTGACCTGCGACCTCAAGCCAAGATCCTCAAAACACGTTGATCGTCACCCAAAGCCTCACCATTTTCTCTTGCTGTCAATGGATGTTTTCGCCCTTGCTTCCAGCTCATCCTACGCTTCTATATTCACTCTGTGTTTTTCTTCTGATGCGTTGACTTCCCGTGCCTTGTTAGTCGCTACTAGCACACGAACATGTCCAAACCTTCTCGGCGCGTCGTTCCTACACGTGGCCCCTAAATATCATGCCTGATCAATTCCTCAAGTGCAGCGCTGATTCCATCATCACCCATCTAAATCCTTCAGGTCAATAAGCACGGTAGAAGAGCTATGAGACGGCGAGACCACCTAGGCAAGATCTGGCAGCTCCATGGAAGATCTACCTCGCATCGCCTCTGAGAAAGAGGGATATAACTTCTCCGTCCTCCGACACGATGGCTTTGGTCCGACACGCTCGTCCCGGAGGGTCCATCGAGGTTTCATTTTCGCCATCATGATACTGGCACCGTTGGCAACCGTGGTTGTGTTCTTGGGCTGGAGGTAAGCTCCCAATAACTCAGACGCAGTCAACTGTTTCCCACATGCTCATCTCATAACAAATAGTGGGGTCTCTGTAGGAAGCTCGTCTCCTCCAGATTCATGCGATACTGTCGTGACAGGGTTTCAATGTCAACCAACCATTTCCCACTATTGGGGCCAGTACTCGCCCTACTTTACTGTACCCTCCGATATCTCGACAGACGTTCCTGATAGCTGCAAAGTCACATTCGTTCAGATCTTGTCCCGCCATGGAGCTCGAGATCCGACAGCATCAAAGACCAAGACCTACAATAACACCATCAAACAGGTGCATGCCAATGTGAAAACCTTCACAGGGCCGTATGAGTTTCTCGCCAATTATTCGTACACTCTCGGCGCGGACCAGTTGACGACTTTCGGTCAGGAGCAGATGGTCAATTCGGGTACCAAATTCTATCATCGATATCGCTTGCTTGCAATGTCCCTCGAACCCTTCATCCGTTCCTCGGGCGAGAATCGGGTGGTAGAGTCGGCCCTCAATTGGACACAGGGCTTCCACGCCTCGAAACTGGCCGACAAATCTGCGGATGTCGACTCTGGCTATCCATATCCGGTGATCCTGCAGTATGAAGGTGATGGATTCAACAACACGCTGAACCATGCTCTTTGCACTGAGTTTGAGAACGGCACAGCCGGCGATATTGGCAACGACGCTCAGGAGGCCTGGGCGAAGATCTTCATCCCTCCCATCCAAGCACGCCTCAACGCCGGTCTGCCCGGCGCTAATCTCAGCATGGACCAAACAGTGGACATGATGGACCTTTGCCCGTTCAACACCGTTGCCAACGATGACGGCATCATTTCGCCATTCTGCGCCCTCTTTACCGAAGCCGAATGGCACAGTTACGGCTACTATCAGACACTGGGCAAATACTATGGCTATTCTTATGGCAATCCTCTGGGGCCTACACAAGGGGTGGGCTTCGTCAACGAGCTCATTGCGCGGCTGACCAACACCTCTGTTCAAGACCACACATCTACGAACCATACTCTGGACGATGATCCCGCCACGTTCCCTTTGGGCCGGAAGCTGTATGCGGATTTCAGCCACGATAACGATATGACAGCCATCTTTTCGGCACTAGGACTTTATAACAACACGCTACCATTGCCCAACACGACGGTCGTGGAGGCTAGTGCAGCGGGTGGTTACAGTGCCGCTTGGACCGTTCCGTTTGCTGCTAGAGCGTATATCGAGAAAATGCAGTGTCAGGGGCATTCGGGGGAACTAATTCGTGTGATTGTGAACGATCGTGTCCAGCCCCTCTCCTCTTGTGGAGGTGATGCCCTTGGACGCTGCTCTCTGAGCAGATTTGTGAGTAGTCTAGGATTCGCAAAGACGGGAGGTCAGTGGGAGCAATGCTTCGTCTGATGTGTGCGAAGCCATGAGTTGTACGTGGATCACGCTGGTCGACCGTGAGTGAGCAATACTGTGTGGAATAGATCTCCAGCTGCCAACATAGAAACTTGCCCAAGCCTTGGAGTGGAATGGTATCGCTTAGTAGCTCGATATGCTCACTATGCCCGTCACTATGTTAGATTTTTAAGAGTCACCTGGTGGTCCCTGAAACATCCAACGAGGGTGCCATGTGCGTCGGTGCTCAATCAAGCACTTGTCTCGTCTTGATTTCTTGACATTGAGTTGAAGACATCGGAGCGGGCCGAGACGTGACTCTTAGCGACTCGCCAGGTGACCCAGGTGCCCAGTTAGGCAGTGTCCCGATATAGAACGCAGCGTTTCCATAACGGAGAGACTGATCGATGGGGAGGTCGATATGAACGGAACGACCATTGAAGGACGGATGGATCACGGTTCATGCATGTACAGAGATAGGAAATTATAGTAGGAAGTATTATCATGCGTTGTCCTTGTCGTTGTCCTTGCTCAACATGGCCTAGCCTTATGCACTGTCCCTCTCTGTCTCTAGACATGGACCTCGACTTCGACCTCGGTCGTCCCACTCTTCATGGATAATAGATGATAATACCAAAATATATCTGTTGCCCTGGTCTTCACTTCGAGTAGATAAATTCCACGTATATTTGATCGAGACGTCCAATGTCTCCAGTTCGGACCATTGAGGATGTCCGGGAAGAATACAGCTATATCATCTGGTAAGGAGTACTCAATAATACCTCGATGCTTCGACCCCTCCACATCCACCCCTCTTTATCAGCCGCCCAAATATTCCAGATCAGCACATTACTTTTGCACACCCCTCGCTCACAAGCTAATATCTTTTTTTCTCTCTCTCTCGTCCAGTGGAGGCGGCACCTCTGGCTGTGTGATTGCGGGAAGACTCGCCGAAGCGCTCTCCCAGAGATCGGATGTCTCTGTCCTGGTGGTCGAGGCTGGGCCGGACTCGACGGGTCACCCGCTCATCACCATGGTGGGCGGCCTCTTCCAAGCCATGGGCGGCGAGCTGGACTGGGGCCTGGAGACCGTGCCGCAGGAACACCTCGACAACCGCGTGCTGCAGCTCAACCGCGGCAAGTTCCTGGGCGGGAGCAGCGGGTTCAACGGGACGCTGTGCATCCGCGGGTGCAAGACCGACTACGACGACTGGGGCCTCGAGGGCTGGACTGGCGACGACATGTTCCGGTACATGAAACGCGCAGAGACGTTCCACGGCAAAGACTGGTTCAAGGCGGCAGAGGCGTATCACGGCACGGATGGTCCCTTGCATGTTGAACCGCACGATCTGGCGCCCATCTCCAATCACGTCCTAGAGTCCTTGCAGGATAAAGGCTTGCCGCTGGTAGATGACTTGTTCACCACGGGCCAGGCAGCACATGCCTGTGGCCATGTTCCCCGGACGGTGCATGGCGGCGTGAGAACGTTCGGCACTGACTACCTGAAAGGTCACGAAGGTCGAGTGGATATCGTGGTCGATACCGTAGTCGACAAAGTCATCCTTGAGCACGTCCAAGGGGATGTTGTGGCGACGGGCGTCGAGGTTGTCGATAACTCTGGGAACAGGAGGGTGTTGAAAGCTGGTCAGCAAGTCATATTGTCTGCAGGTAAGCATCGCACCCGACACTCACATGTACGGGATTTCTCATGTCGTCTGCAGGTGCGTACTGCTCGCCGACTATTCTGCTTCGATCTGGCATCGGCCCAAAAGATGAGCTCACACAGCTCGGCGTCGATTGTATAGTCGATTCTCCGGGCGTGGGTAAAAACTTCCAAGACCATCTGGCAAGCCGCACTCTCATTCCCTGACGAGGGAAGTCTTCTCTAACTGCTCCTAAGGTCGTGTTTGTCCCCTACGAAGTCACGCAGCCGGACCTCACCAACGACCGATTCATCCACCACGCCAACGGTTTCGCAAATTCCCTGGCAACCTACCAGAGCTCTCAATCTGGCTTCTTTTCCACATTTCCCTTTGGCATCTTTGCGCTGGCGCGACTCGACGACGGGTTGAACTCGTCGTCTTTGTGGCGCGAGAGATCCGCCGCGACGTCTGGGTCGACACGAGATGCTGCTGACCTCACACCCGAGCAGGCTCACGTCGAATACATGCACACTGAGTTGTATTCAGGCCACGTTCACGGATATCCCATTCCCTTGGAGGGGAAGTACGGCTTCGAGATGATGACACTGCTGTTTAGCCAACAGAGCCGCGGCACAGTCACCCTGCGCTCCACGAGCCCGCATGACAAGCCAATCATCGACCCTCGCTACCTATCCGATCCTCTCGATCTGCTCATGTTGGCCGAAGGCGTGCGCTTTGCACACTCGATCGTGACAACCGGATCTGGCACCAAGAACATCATCGCCCCGGGCGTGTGGATGGCTGGTCCGAAGTACGCGGCCTTGGGGCCCGAAACTACCAGGGAAGACTGGGAGCCGTATGTGCGTCAGTACAGCGCCACGGCGCACCACCCGGCGGGCACGTGTCGCATGGGGAAGGATGGCGATACGATGGCTGTAGTGGACGAGAAGCTGCGTGTCAGGGGCGTCAAGGGTTTGATGGTTGCCGACTGCAGCATCATGCCGAGTCTGAACGGTGGACACACGCAGATGCCAGCGTATGCCATTGGGGAGAAGGCTGCAGAGTTGCTTGTCAGTTGCGTCTGAAACAAGTTAATAGTCCGACCATGTGAAGTCTCTGTATAGAGGGATTGCCTTGCTGAGCGCATTATACTTTGATAGAGGTAGAGCTTGAGTACGCATTGGCTGTCTATAGCTCTGTGTGAAAGAAGGTGGTGCTGCTTGGGCCGGCTTTGGTGCACGTAGTCTCAATGAACCGCAGGAAGTTCAAGCATCTCTTGCTACTCTTATTGCCATCTCTTCCAGCGCCAACCCAAGTATAACTAAGTTGGCGTGCCTCAGTAACGTGTGCCTTGGACATTGTAATGGACAGCTTCGGCGTCAGAAACTCGTGCGAATTGCTCCGCAAGTCAGTCTCAAGCGTGATCTCGGGTAAGGACTGTCCGTGTATTATTTGTCGGGAATGGGTGCCTGATGAGTTCTCGGTCAAAGTGCCTTTGTAGGTGTGCGGAGAGTGATTTAATGCTTACCTGCCATGCCTAACTTACCTAGGCTTGCAGGCTTGGTAGATGACTATGCTCAAGATATGCATTGACTGCGCCAAGCACGGGACACTGTCACCCTCCAACCCTCACCACAAACTAGAAGGGCGCCGCCTATACCACCTACGGCACACTACGTACAAACCCTAGTCTCTATCGGACCAGCCTGACTTGTTCTTTTCTATGGCGTCCCTCGTCTTTCTCCTGCACCGTGCAGCACACCCACCCAGCTGCGGCGCACCGTATACCTGGCCTCCCTTAGATCCATTGATTCCCCTCGGAGGCTTTTGTCCAGGCTAGAAACCGACTGGCTTGTAGGGTTGCAAGGGTACGCTGCGCTACAAAATTTGTCGAGACAACTTGGTCACCGAGAGTCATCATACTACACAGCCACATCATCGGACGGAACCCCTTCCAATCAACCTGATGAATTTCGGCGGTTGACATTGAATGCCAGCAAAGAACTAGCCTCAGACAGTGCATTATGGATGGCTCTAGCGATCTCACCTTCTCGGCTACGGCCCAGAACCCGCAGAGGCAGCACAGCGGCCCTGAGCCTCGAAGGACCAATCGTGCTTGCGTTGAATGCACGAGGAGGAAGATCAAGTGCGATGGCACTTTACCCTGCCAAAACTGTCGAAAACATTCTTTAGAATCGAGGTGTAGCTACAGGAAGCGACAGCGGAGAACAAATCCCTCCTGGAAGTGAGTTGTGGCCTCTTGTGACTTTGCGACACCATCTAACTGCTGGCTGTGTAGAACAATTGACCAGTTGAACGACGCTCTGACCGCTCGCAATCAGATCATCAAGCAGCTTTTGCCGGCAGTGGACTTTGACAGCCTGCCGGGCCTTTCTCGAGAGAGTGTTATCCGATTGATCAGTAATGAGGTTGATACCCAGACACCTTCGCCAGCTGCTGATGGTGCTGTCGCCAATGAGGTTCCAGAAGCTTTGCAATCCCTCAACGATATCGCTGCAGATGAGGAATGGAATGAGGCTCAGGACGAGGAAGGTCCGGAGCCACCAGTTGGCGACGCTGTCAACGGCATCATCATCCACCAACACCCGGGCTCATATCCGCGCGTTTCCTCGACTGGTGCTTTTCTGCATGTGTTCTTCAGCGTCTGCCCCTCTGCAAAACAATCGTTCTTGGATCTTGGACAGTCGGCATTTCAGAAACCAAAGCAACTCGTCGTTCGGAGTTCGAGCAAAGAGCCCCCACGGGCTGCGCATCATGTCGCCCCTGTATCCTCCACACTTCCATCCTTGTCGTCTGCACAACAGATGGCCATCGACGCGTATTTCGAGCAGATCCACGCCCTGATCCCAATGGTGGACGAGAGTCGCTTTCGGGATGAGTTCTCGAGCCAGGAACGCACAGATGACGGATGGAAGGCGCTCTCAAACATGGTCCTTGCATTAGGTTCCATTGCGGCGGGGGACGATCAATCACACTTCGCTTACCACGAACGAGCGCGGAATCTCCTTGGTTACAACATATTTACCTCGGGAAATCTGGAAATGCTACAGGCGCTGGTTCTCTTGAGCGCGCTGTACTTGTACTACATCAACTCGCCAAACACCGCATTCTTAGTCATGGGAACCGCATTCCGGATGGCTATTGCCATTGGCTTACATCGTGAGCCAGCAAAGACGACAAAACTCGGCCAGACGCCTGAGGAAGAAGCTTTGGCACTGGCTCGAGCCGAAGTCAGACGAAGAACTTGGTGGTGTATGATCGCTGGAAACGCCTGGCAAGGATTGTTGTTGCACCGTCCCAGGGTTGGAAGATGGGATCCGCTCACAATGGACACCGCTTGGCCTTCTACGAAGCTCTCTTCAACCTCTGCGCGGCTAGAGAGCGTTGCACGGCAGAGACACAACGAGTCCGAGGACAGAGACTGGCATGGCATAGCTCTCCGCGTGACTGCCGAGTTTTGCATCATCGCTCAAAGGATAGGAGATCGAATGGCCCAGTTGTCATACATTACACCTCGGGAGATTTTTGCCTTCAGCGACGAACTCGAAATTTGGAGTAAATCCCATCACTTTCGGTTCTTGTCGGAGAATTCGTGTCCAAAACGATTCTGGCTGAGTCGAGAGACCATGATGTATCGATTTTTGGGGGTACGCGTCCTGTTGTCTCGACCACATCTGCTGCGGTTGGCAGACGACGCCATGGCGCATAATGCATTCACAGACGAGGACTGGAAGGTTGTATCACTCTGCCAGAATTCGGCGAGTGAAGTTATCGACCTGATCTGCTCGGGCCTTCATCACGATAGGGTTTCGGTCTGGCACTCGACCTTTGCACTTTTCCAAGCTTGTCTGATTCCCCTGATTTCTATTGCTGTGGCAAAGAAATTGAGTCTATTTGGCGAAGCCGCAGTCAATGGTTGGAAACAGAGTCTGGACGGTGCTATTCGTGCATTCAAAGATATGGCTCCTCATACGAGGCCAGCGGACAGATATGGCAGCATTGTCGAGGCATTGCGAGATGGCGTGATATCTTGGAATAACGAAGATTCTCAGTACGCAGCTGACATCGACCAATATGCAGATTTTCTGGCCAATGCAAGATCGGAGACCGCAATGGACTTGATGAATTTTGACGGACAGGACGTCACCGCGCCGGGTCCATTCCTGGAGTGGTTTGATTATGATCTTTCGTTTGGAGATCAACAGCTAAACTGGTACCCTCTTCCTGATCCTTGAGGTCGTGGTTGCATGAATTCGAGGACACCTTTGCTGTACTGCAGGCTGAACACGCGGCTGTACTGCTAGGCTCACGAGGGGAGGTGAGGTGACGGTACCCTGGATAGCTTGTCGTGAGGCTGGTCTGATCAGGTTTTCAAGTCTGCAAGACTCACATCATGGAGGTCCTCACAAGGGGCGTTCACCCAAAGACTGGCATTTTGTTTTCTCGGATCTGTTTGATGTGATTATGAGCTCGGGCGGCTTTTCATATTTCCCAGGAGCCATTTGCATGGGACAGTCTCATCACGAGGACCAAAGGTCCACCAGCACTTATCCTAAGCAGGCAGCAAATGGAGAATACGGGAGTTCGCGGATGATCGCTCCTATCTCGCCGTCCGGGAAGAGCAACGAACTCGGCATGAATGCAGTACTTCGTGTCAGCTTCGATTGCGTGTTCAATCATGCTGCCGCTTTGCGTCTATTCGTCAGCCACTTGTTCAACAAACCGCCAGGCGCCACTCTTCGCCAATGCAGGTGAACAGTTTCAGTACTAAACCTCACATCCGACACAACTGCAGTGGACGACCTAATTCAAAGTAAGAGCTTGCACTAAACACCGGAGGCGTCCAAATGGAAAATCCCTTGAAGAGTCGAGTAAGTCCGTTATAGTGACACAAGGCCCGAGGGCTGAAGTAAAGCGACGACCGAGCCGTTCAACTCAACTCCTGTATACATCGTCCGGGAGTCGTCACACGAAACAACTAAACATTTCCCTCAACTTCGTTGTGGAGTATTGGCAGATCACTTGGGTTTGCATTGGTTGGAGATCTGCTGCCGTCCAATTGCTGTCTCAGAAGATCCATATCTCTGGGTAATGTTTGCTTGAGTGGACTGAGATTCAGAAGGTTCAAACCACCTCTCCGTGAAAGATTCTTGAGCTCCCGACACTGCGAACAGGAGTTGTCGACGTCGAAGGCTCGACGTGGCTTTCAGGTGCCGAGACCTCGATGCCATCTTTCGTTGATTGGAGGAGATATGTACTGCCGTCAAGTGCGGATACAGTCCGGGAGTACATATGCCCGCATACACACATGTCTCCGCCTCCGTCAGTACAGCATGTTGCACCCTCGGCAGACGCTCAGAGATCCAACCCTGCAAGAGATTCACTGCAATACGTCCTCAACCCGGTGAGAACACTGGCCCAGAATGGAGAGCAAAGTGGGGAAAGAGTTATGCATGTCACGGCATCTGATTGAGTTCGACTCGATTCAGCTGACACAATGGCTGTATAATTCTGGCTCGTACTAACAAGGCTGCTCTATAACTTTGATACTAGCCACTCTGGCTGTTTTCTTCCCAACCATTTCGTTACTACGTCGAAATGGCAATGATGCAGCGACATGAACTGGCCACCGGGTGGAAATGGCGTCTGGCCAATGCAAATGGCAAGTCGAAAGCAGACGACATTCCAGACCTCAAGTCTTGGGCACCGGTCACTGCTTTCCCGTCGGTTATCCAAATGGAACTCCTGGCTAAGAAGATCATCCCGGATCCCAACGTGGGCGAAAATGAGCGTCAGATCCAGTGGGCTGGCGAAATGGACTGGGAGTATTCCTGCTCTTTCCCAACCCCCAAGGGCCTTGACAACTCTCGAGTTGCTGATTTGCTGTTTGAGGGACTGGATACCTTTGCCACTGTCTTCCTCAACGGAAACGAGATTCTCAAATCTGACAATATGTTCATCCCGCATCGAGTGAACGTGACAAGTCAGCTCAAACCCGAGGGACAGGAAAATGAGCTTTCTATCCTTTTTGAGAGCGCGTTGAAGAAAGGAAGTGAACTGGAAGCGAAATTCGGGGCCAGGACGCAAATGATTCGAGATAAACGGAGGAACCATATTCGAAAGGCACAGGTACGGTTTGACATCTCGGTTACATGACCCTTCTGTTGATGATGATATAGTACCATTGGGGCTGGGACTGGGGACCTATAATGGTGACGGCGGGACCGTATATGCCGATCCATTTGGAGACGTACTCTGCGAGGCTTGACGACGTCTACATTACCACGGAACTGGCAGAAGATCACTCAACGGCGACGCTCACGATAACGGTACAAGCAACTGGACCTTCTGCCAAGCTTGTAAAGGTCAACATTCTCGATCAAGCCTCTTCACAAGTATCTCAGGAGCTCGACATCTCCTTGGACGATTCGAAAAAGGGTGTCGCCACGGTCATCATAGCAGAACCCAAGCTGTGGTGGCCTAACGGGCAAGGCGCACAGCATTTATACAGTGTTTCGGCATTTCTTCTAGATGAATCGTCGAGCAAGCTCGATACGAGAACGATTCGATACGGCATCCGGACTATCAAAGTGATTCAACGCCCTCTTGATAACGCGCCAGGCAAGACATTCCTCTTCAACGTCAATGGCCGCGATATCTTCTCCCAGGGAGGTAACTGGATCCCAGGAGACAATCTATTGCCTACTATGACCCGCGAAAGATACTTTGACTGGGTTCGACTGTCGAAGTACCACCATCTGAATATGATCCGGGTTTGGGGAGGGGGAATCTATGAGACGGAAGACTTCTTTGATGCCTGTGACGAAATGGGTATGCTGGTCTGGCACGATTACGCATTTGCTTGTGGTGATTATCCCGTCTACAAGGAATTTTTGGACAGCGTCAAGACCGAGGCCGAAGCACAGACTATTCGAATGCGCAATCGCGCCTCGCTAGCCCTTTTATGTGGCAACAACGAGGATTTTGGGATCCAGGACTTTTTTGGCGAGCCGTACGACTTTGCCGACCACAAAGGACCCTTTGAAGATAGCAGTTTTCCGGCTCGTAAGATCTACCTCGACCTTCTCCCCAAAGTCTGCGAGAGCCTGTGTCCGTCGATCAAATACTGGCCATCATCACCCTGGGGCGAGGAGGGAGCAAATGCGAGCGACACCACATTCGGTGATCTTCACCAGTGGGCTGTATGGCATGGACCGCAGCACTCTTATCAGAAATATGGAGAGCTGCATGGTCGGTTTGTCTCTGAATTCGGGATGCACGGTTTCCCTATCATGCGTACGGTCGATGTTTTTGCGCCTGATCCGAAGGACCGTCATCCCCAGTCCCGCGTCATCGATTGTCACAACAAAGGCCACGGCGCGGAGACACGTATCGCGCGATACTTGTCAGAGAACTTCCGATATGATATGAAACTTGAGAACTTCGTATACTGCTCACAGCTTTTGCAGAGCGAAGCATACGGCTATGCGCTGCGTGACTGGAAGCGGAAGTTTGGGGGCAAAGGTAAAGAGGAGTGCGCAGGTGCAATCATTTGGCAGCTGAATGATGTCTACCCGGTCACAAGCTGGGCATATATTGACTATTATCTCCGTCCGAAACCTGCCTTTTATACGATCCGACGCAACTTTGCCCCAATCAGCGTTGGGATTGAACGCACACCTCGCTCTCGCTGGATCGACGAAGACAAACCAAAGGATTCGTATATCCCCAACTTTGCTCTCTTTGCGCATAATACAACGCCAGTGGAGGCAAAGTGCTCTCTGGAACTGAGGGCGTACGATCTTCACGCCGGAAAGGAGGTTGAGTTGGACTGGACGGGCGTGAGCTCGGAGGTGACCTTGTCAGCCGGTCACAATACCGAGCTTGGGAGTCTGAAGCCACATGCGTCGTGGACCGAGGAAAGTCTGATCATCCTTGATGCAACCCTCGTGGACCCGTCGACGAAGAAGGTGCTGGCAAGATTCACTGACTGGCCCGAGCCGTATCGGTACTTGCAGTGGCCCGTCGACACCAAAGTGGCCACTTCCGTTCAGAGCATCCAAGATGATCACGCCCATACCGACGTCAACGACACACACTTTGAGGATGTGGTGACAGTCAGTGCCAATCAGCCAATCAAGGGCTGTTGGCTGGAGCCCGTGTACGATGGAACTGAAAAGGCGGACGAGCCTGAACCACTGTGGGAAGACAACATGTTCGATCTGCTGCCTGGACAGGAGGTCAAGGTGGCTGTCAAGGGTCTCCGAGGAAGAAAGGTCAATGTGCGGTTCTTGGCGGATTGGGAAGTTGGGCCTGCAAAGGCTCATCTTTGAAACTGATAGCATACTGGTATTCCGTGTCGTCTTTGTGGCGTGAAGAGACTTGGAGGTATAGAGGATTGGAACGCTACACAAATCCCACAAATAGCGATACGTGTGAATACAAGAGGCAAACAACAGACACTACTTTCGTGTAGTCTTCTTGAATTATTTACTTAAGCGACAAATTTTCTGCGTTGAATATCTTGCGGCAATCTCGTTCAAACATCATCAGAAATTCTTCGTCGATATAAGATCGTTTAAGGCCGTCGTTCTTGCCACTTCACTTCCCACTTCCACTGACATCAGCGCGGATGCGCTCCAACAGGACATCAAGCCTCTTCTCCGCCTTGTCCCACTGATCCCGGACAATCCGTGCCCTCTCGGGCGATCTGACTTTGAACTCGGCCCTGAACGGCAAGGGCTTTGAGTTGAGGCCCTGCGTGAAGGCGAGGGGGTCGACTTCGCACCTGCGCCGGACGAGGACGGTGCGGCCGGTGTGGGGGTCGATCTCGGGGACGGACTCGTGCGCGTGGACGACGTCAAAGGCCCAGAGGATGCGGACCATGTTGATGAAGAGGCTGTTGCGGGCGAGGTGCTGGCCGGTGCAGACGCGGCGGCCGAAGCCGAAGGGGGCGAGCGGGAGGGCCGGGTCCTCGATCCAGCGGTCCGGGTTGAAGGCGTGCGGGTCCCGGTAGACGTCCTCGTCGAGGTGGATCGACCAGTGGTTCCCGATGACGGTCGCGCCCGCGGGGATGCGGTAGCCGAGATACTCGTCGTCCTGGATGACGGCGTGGGGGATGCCCCCCGCGCTGACAGGCCGCCACCGCAGCACCTCCTTGATCATGGCGTCCATGTACGGCAGCGAGTCCTTGTCCTCGAACCCGGGCAACCGGTCGTCGCCGCCGCCGACGTGC